CGATGAATATGAATTTGAAGAAAATGGTGTTGAGGGAAATGATGATGTTGTATTTGATGACGACGATGATGATGATGATGATGATGACGATGACGATGACGATGATGATGATGATAATGATAATTTAAAATCTTCGTTTACTACATCCAAATTCATGTTATTAATATGAATTAAATTTGGAGATAATAAAGAAGGGGAAGAAGAAGAGGAGGATAAATGAGGTGAATTAATAATATTACTGTCATTACCATTATTTTCACCAATATTGTTGTCATCATTAATAGGACTAGTATTAATAGGATTATTGATAGATTTATTTTCTGAGGGAGGAGAAGATGAAGGAGGAGGAGAAGGTGGCGATGATGATGATAATTTGTTTCAAAAGACGGAATCTGCAGATTTTACATGCCGTAGTTGAATTCCTACATCGATGTTGGTGGTAGCGAACGGATGATGTAAATTCGGGTGAAAGAGACTAATAACAATCATAATAATAATAATAATAATGAAGCGAGTAGTTGATGAAAGAAACAAAATAAAACAATGAATAAATGATGGTCAAGAACAATTTTTTGAATAGTAAATAGCTAGTAAATAAAAAGATATAAATAAGATTTAATTTATTGGAGATGCAGGATACAGTCTGAGTGTTTAGGGGGAAAAGTTAAGGGCGTAGGAGAATGAAAGAAGGGTGTTTGGTGATGGATGTCAGACATCATCATCTAACACTCTGTTTTTGTTATTATATAAATATAGGTAAATTAGCTAGATTATTTGTTTGTTAAGTAAAATTCATTGGTGTCAGTCAAATAATGCATGTATTAATTATTTTTTTATTGAATTTCATTTGAAGTTGAATTTTGTGTATTTTTTTTTTTCCCCATTCATAATTGTTAACAGTTGTACAAAATTTATTGTTTATCCACTACAGAAAATTATATGCAATCAGTATATTAATTATATATATCCTTACATTATTATTATATATATATTCTTACATTATTATCATCTTTCTTTATACATTATCTTGTATACATTATCTTATATACATCATTATTGTCTTTTTTTATACATTATCTTTTTTTTTTTTTTTTTTTTTTATGCATTACATATATACATTATAATTTTTTATTATTTATATTTTCACACGGTCCAAAGAACTTGTTTTTTCTAAAGAATGGTTCAATTCGTAGCTTTCTGCGTATTAGGATAAAAATTTCAGTGTGTATTGCATTGCAAACATTCATGGCTCCATCGGGATTTTTCGGAGACGGTTTTTGCTGTAAAAAAAAAAGACGTCCCACGTTTTACATTTCGAAACAAGATTTTTTTCTAGATTTATAAGCAGAGGCCAGAACGGTAGGGCAAAATGAAGAAATTAAAAACAAGCAAATTTAGAGATAAATTTTTTGTAAACTAATGCGAATAATTAATTAATTTTAATTAGTTGTATATTAAAAAAGAAGTCGGATTTTTTTCTCCCCATTCATTTTTAAAAAAAACGCATTTTCTAGAACCATTTATAGTAATTCATTCTAATTACTACAGATACAAATATTTTAATTTTATTATGTTATTATTTTATTATTTTTATTATTATAATAAATATTAAAAATATTGTTAATTTGTTGCCCATGACCTAAATTATAAGATTGATAATGAAATAATAATAATAATGCATTTTTATCTTTCCAGGTATATT